CTATTTTTTGCCATTAGGAACATGCATTGGACATGCATGTCCATAAAGCCTCCATCTTTGGAACGTTTTGAGGACTAGGAACTTTTCTGGAAATGAGGGATTTCAGATCCTCTAGATTTTTGGACCATATGACAAAGCTTTGGAGCTTTCCAACCTTTGATAAGGGACTTAGAGTATTTGGAATGATTCTAGAAGGTAAAGTTGGAAATTTTATCTTTCTAGACACCTTGGGGCTTCAGATCTAAGCCCTGGAGTCCCTGGATTTGGTGTATCATCACAACAAGCAAACAGGAAGGGGGACTCAACGAGTTGCCCTAGCAAATCGACGAGTCAGATTGGGTTTCCCCGCCTTCTGAATATCAAGTGAACTTGTCGAGTTGATGAAACAACTCGACGAGTTGGATAGGGTTTGATCAGGCTGACTAGACTCCGTAGGAACTTGACGAGTCGCTAGATGCACTCGACGGGTTTAGGTCAACATAGACTGTTAACCTTGACTGTTGATGTTGACTTTGACCAAGGTTGAGTAGGGTTGACCTTGAGGGTAATTCTAGGATTATGACAATTCTATCTAATGATGCTTACATGCAGTTGAGTGAGAGAAACACGTGGGACATATCTGGTTCTAGCTTGTCAGTCGGCATTCAAGAGAGGCGAGTCTTCTCACCATACCAATGGGTCTAAGGCACCAAGTTCGACCTATTTTATGTTATGTGGCACACTAGTGTTTGTAGAGATATGTGGTATGATAGTTAGCTTTGTAGTAAGTAGTATGCTAGTGATTGTATGTTATTGCATGGAAGACCCCGGGGGAGCCCATGGCAGTTGGATATAATACCATGTGGGGTACCCATGACATTCCCAAGTAAAGACAATGTGGGGTAGCCCATGGCACGATGGTATAAGACCCTGGGGGAGCCCGTGACATCCTTACAGGTTTATGTATGTGTATGTATTATGATAGACACTTCTATGATATGATATGTTAAGTTTATCATGTATATTATTTCATGAAAGACCCTGAGGGGAGCCCATGGCACGAAGGTGTAAGACCCTGGAGGGGAGCCAACGATATCCTTACAGGTTTATGTATGCATGGCTTATGTGGTATATGTAGCTTTTATAGCTAATATGGTATGTGTTATGTGGATTATGTGTGAGGTATGCTATGGGGAACTCACTAAGCATTAGCTTATAGGTTGTGGATTTGTTTAAGGTACATAGGATCCTAAGGGCAAGGGCAAGGCTTGATGGCGCGACGTGCACTCTCACCCAGGAGTTTTATGGGACATTCTGATATTTTAAATAAAATCTATAATTGATATGAGTTTGAAAACAATTATATATAGGATTTTGTAAGTTATGAAAATGTGTTTGGATAATCAAAAATGAAAATTTTCCCTTAAAAAATCAGGTCGTTACACAGACAAGTCAACTCGTCGAGTCCTACAATGGACTCGTCAAGTTCATCTGGCAGAGTCCAGATTTCGACTACTTTCAGCTTTGAACAATTGACCATGGCATCAAATATAACAGAAAAACACCCCAGGCTCTGATACCACTGATGGGTTTTGAGCACTAGAACATTCATATGGTGTGCATGCAACCCTAATGCTTTGGATCTAGGTTTTTCTCAAGTTATACATGCAATTCTAGTCATCCAAAGCATGAACCCTATCTAGCATACAATTTTGGAGATTTATAACATAAAACAAAGTTAGATTAATACCTTTTCCTTGTAGCTTGTAGATCTTGACCTTCTAGAGCATAATGCCTCAATTATTGCACCTCTAGTGAGTCACAAACACCAAGTAGCAATTGGAAGAATATGAGAGAGGTTGAGTGGCTCTAAAAATCGGCTAGGGTTCTTTTCTTGGAAGCATTTTTTGATTTCAAGGAGCCAAGGGGTTCCTTATATAGCTGAGTTGCTAGGGTTTTTGACTGGAACCCTAATTCTTTGCTTAACCCTTAAGCAATCCAGTAGATCCTTCCAAAAGGCCGCCTTAGACGAAATCTATGTGGGCTACACATAGAATTTCGTCCACCCCTTCCTAGGGATCCATAAGCCCAACTTGTAACTATCATATAATTGCAATATCAGTCCCCATAATTTAATCAGTCTCTTTTGATCACCAAATTAACTTATGATCAACAGTAATTAAATGATATGATTTACAAATTAATATATTATTTTATAATATATTAATAAATCACAATTAACCTATTTCTCCATAATTCATTCTATCAAATTGTTGTGGTGAAGGCAACCCAAATGGATCATGCTACTATCGGGTCAAGTTCATACCAATTATAGTTATGGGCTTAGACACCTAATCCAACATATAATATGTGCTCCAAGGTGGTGAAGGAACTTCCTTGTTGGGTCTATGCACCAAGAACACATTCTTCTTCTCCAAGGAATAAAACACAACACCAAAATCTCACAAATGGGTGAAAGGGGGGAAGGGAGGCTTAAAGTGGTGAAATGAGAGTTATGGTTTCTCTCAAGTGGCTTTAGCTATGGTGAAGGATAGAAAATACCCTAAAACATGGAACCGCCCCTTTGATACATAGATAACCCTAAAAATTCATGGGTTTGAGTTGCACAACGGCCACCTTGTGGAAACCTACATACCACCTCGTGGTAACTCACCATGTCGTTGGGACAAGTTTTCACCCAATTCCATTTCAGCTTCAAACAATCATAACTTCGTCATTTCAACCCTGTTTTTAGTGATCTTTATATGCACGTGAAGGTAGTGACAAGCCCCACAACCATATCTATTATTTTTGACTTAATACATGTCAAACTAAAACCATAATCCATGCAAGAAGCCCGAAATATTACTTTTTCCATTTTACCCTTTTGCTTCAAAGCACAATTCGAGGACTTTAATCACTTCACCGACATTATCAACATCTGATAGGTTCTAAATTCTATCTCTTGAAGCCCAAGACCTTTGTTTGATCCATTTATGACTGGCTATCCTGAAATTATAAACATCTCAAAACTAGATATTACAAAAATAAAAATTATTCTTAGAAAAAATAAACACTTGGTCTGGAATAGGCGTTCCGGGCAAAAAAAAAAAAAAAAAAAACAATTTATTTGACTGATTTTGGAACGATATTTTGAATTTTGGAATCCCAAAAGTTAAGAAATTTTATTGAAAATTGTGACATTAAACATTTCGAACGTAGCATTTGGAATCCACAAAAAAATCTTTGAAACAAAAAAAATACTTTAGAATATGAACAATACTCCAAAATAAGGGCATTCCGAAGAAATTGGTTATCTTTCAAAAAATAAAAAATATGGTTATTTTATTTAAATGCCCAATTTATAATGATTAGGTTACATTAATTTTTTATTTTTTCACGTAGCATTTTTCATATTAGAAGCATCATAACACATGCCTTATGATAAAGATAATATGCAAGATAGTTGCTATTAAATGACTAGAAATCAATATAGATCCATGGATTTAATTTTGTTACTAAACAATAGTTATGGACTAATTGAGTAGGATTGAAGGAAGATGCGTGAGAAAGATAGAGATAATAATAAAAGTATAAGTTACTTAAAATATTAAGCCAAAATAAGTACATATGTAACTTTTAACTTGTATTAATGTCAAAAGTGCCATGATTTTATATCAAATGCTTTTACTATGAATTGAAATGCATATCAAGGATAAATTCATATGAATTAATATGTTCATCACTTTGTTTCTTTATTGGGATATCTCCAATAAAGTCCAATTAATTTGGCCCTATTTATGAAAAAAACCTAAACTAAAAATGTTAATGAAAAAGCATGGGATATAAGATAAAGCAATTGACCATTTTTAGTCGGTAACCACTCTTACAACCGGTAACAAATCTTATAATGGCAGGTAACTCAACACCCACCTTATTTAATACATTGAAATGTTAAGAAAAGGACCTAATAAAAAATTACTTTTTATAGAAACTAGGGTTTACCTCTAAAGGAAAATGAAACACAGACGACAAGAGTTCGATTTTTCTAAGACCTGTAAATGGAAGACGTTTGAGATTTTGACACTATTGATGTTGAAATCGACAAGGATTTTAGGAAGAAACAAACTTGCAGATGCACTGACGTATTTATCATGTGTCTCGATGAGGTTGGTGATGAAGGTGATGACTTCGCAATCCATGAAATTGAACATATTGAAGATGATGATATTGTGACGTGTTAGAAGATCATTTGGACGCTTGATGGTATAACTGCTTTGGGAGTTTTCTTGAGAACACAATCACAGAAGAATCGTTAGAGAAAGATCGGGTGTTCTCCCAGGACGTCGCTCCGACGATCAAGTTAGTCTCGAGTGAGAGAGAAATCTTAGGGTAATCTTCATGAGAAAGAAGATGGATCCCTTCCTTGAGGCACAAGAGATCCTTTTTATACCTGTAACTAACGGATCATGGGGATCATCTCTCGTGAACGTGATACGTGGCCTCCTCTTATGGGGAGAGCTATTCACGCTAAGTAAGCACCAGGTGACGTCAGTTTTGGGCGTTACCCGGGCTATTTGTAACTTTCTCATTGGTTGTGGGTGAATGAGGAGATCGCATGGGATGTTCTTCCCTTGTGATGAGAAATGAGTTGTCGCTCCGACTTTGGCTCTCTGAGACCAAGACTAGGTCTCAGCCAAGGCAGTTACGTTTCTGTTACATTTAACGTGTCCGTTAGGTAATGTTAAGAAGTCCCTTAGGCCAGTAGACTCTTGCGCTCGTGATGTAGCAAAGTTGTTCTAGTCTACTTACAAACACGTGGTGGGTTGCTATTAGCAGCTTGTGCAGTTAGCAGGGCGAAATCACCGTTTTTCGGCAGTTTCATCATGAGGATGGTTTGTTGCCTTATTGATGGAATGAAAATCCCAGTTCCTCATGGTGTTTCCTCATTGACTTATGCCTGTTTCTCTTTGCCCTCTTGTTTTTAAGAAAACCCTTTCAAGCTTTCCTTCGTATTTTCCATGGCTACTACTCGTGTTTTAGGAAGAGATCTTACCACTGAGGAATGGGAGTCTTCCGAGTTCCGATTCAGGTTCTTTCTCGAAAACGGTGTGCAAATTCCCCTATCCAATGCATCATTGTATAGCCTTCCATAGGGAAAAATCAGGAATCTGATCGCTCTGTTCGAGGCAGGTATTCGTTTCCCTACTCTTATCCATGGTAAGAAGTCTAAGAAGAACTTGCAAGAGAAGTTCTTATGGGTGAACAACGATCTCGTGGTACTCAGTTACATGAGGACTAAAGTGTACGTCGACCGTGTTCCCGTGTTGTTTGGCGCTGACAAGGAACTGGCTGATGCCCTGGAGAATATCACCATCACCGATAAATATTGGCTTGATTGTTTCTTAGCCGCTGGTGGGATGAGTGCTGCTTGGAGGGCTCGTGGGAAGATGCCTAAATTCTTTGTTGATAAAGAGGGTATATCTTTTACTTCTCTACTCTTCCCCCTACCTTTTTTTTTTGAAAAGATTGGCAAGTCATATTGAAAGCGGTGCTTTGGATTAATCAGCATTGTTTCTTGTTTTTACCAAGTGTGGAGGATATTGTTTCTCTGGAGAAAGCTCTTCGGGGTCTTCCTGATGGCGAGCTTCAGGTTCGCGATGTTGACCTGGTGGAGGCTCTTCCACCTCCTTTTTTGGCTAAGGACTCATAGCGACTACCGGTTCTGACAATGTTACCAGTGTTGGTGAGGATCTGGACCTACAGGATGTTGTCATTACTGGTGCTTCTTAGAAGGATTTTACACCATCCAGGTCCTCAAGGAGTCTTCTTCGGGTTAAGAGGCATTTCGCACTCTTGGAAGCCTCTTTTGGTGGTCGAACTGAGGCGGCTAGCACAAGTTCCCCTCTGTGTAAGAAGCGTAATTTGAGTCTCGTATAGGGGGTTATAAGGATTCCAACCGTGCTCCTAATGAAGATCCTTCGAAACCGTCGGAAGGAGCACAAACCTGTGCGATTGAATCGCCCTGTCATACGGGAGAGGAAAACACCAAAACAATCAGTCTTGTTCCCTCAATAGAAGGAGTTGGGAAAAAGTTTGGGTCTTCGCCTCCTCACGGTCTTGTCTCTACCTCTTATGGTAAAACTGCAACCACCACTTGTTGATGGGTTCTCATCCGAATGCTTATATACTAGCTTGGAGACTAACTGCTCAGGATCTTATCTCTAATCATGACATCGCTCTTGAGTGGCGTCAGCATGCATTTACTCCTGCCACGACTGAGGCCCTAAGTATCTTTTCTAATGAGCATATGGCTGATGGCTTGCGTTACGCTTTCGTTCAAGTGTCATTTTATTTAGTCATGGGAGCCGAACGTATCTCCAAGATGAAGTCCCCCAATTCGATTTGTACAAAGGGATCATTGAATGTGAAGAACTGAAGGCCCAAGTGGCAAAGTTAGAAGCCAATAAGAGCATCTTGGAGGCTGGGCAGGAGGCAGTGTGTCGTGAGAGGGCAAGCTTGGTGGATCAAGCGGCGGAGTTGGTGAAAGAGGTGGAGGGCCTAAATGCTCATGTGGGGGTCCTGATGTTGGAAAACACTGCTCTGATCAAGCGGACAACAAAACTGGAGGTTGATATGGTGAATGAGAACGTCGCAAGGGGAGCGCTGGAAAGGGATATTTCTTGGGTCCTTAGTGATGGGATCAGCCGGGTTGTGGATAGGTTGATTGAAAGTCCACAATTCCTCCAAGGCTTGGTTCTTGTGAAATAAGATTGTGTCGTTCTTGGTGTGGAACAGGGTAAAAGGATTGTCTTCGAACAGTTATCCACCGTGAAGGCTGACCCAAAGTTTGAAGAGAATGTGGCAGCCAAGACTCAAGAGATGGTTTTCTTGGATATCTTTGTTTGTCCGTTAGCCTGAGGATGCGCTACATATGTGAATCGACGGTGGGTTTTCTTGTCTTCACACCATTCCTTGAAGAGACTTCCTTCAAACTGAGTGTCGTTATCACTTATAAGGATCCTAGGGGTTCCAAAGCGGTCCAATATGTTCTTTGTCATGAACTTTATCCTCCTCTTGCCAGTGACAGTGGCTAGTGGTTCCGGCTCTATCCACTTGATGAAATAGTCCACAACTACTAGTAAAAACTTTACGCCTCCCAGCTCTGGTGGAAATGGTCCCACTATATCGATCCCCCATTGGTGGAAAAGGCAGGTCTAGTGATGCTTGTCAATGACATGGCTAGTTGATTTTGGAAAGGGGCGAATGCTTGACATTCGTTGCATTTCTTAGTTAAGGTTGTAGTGTCGTTGTATATGTCCGACCAATATACTCCTAGACGATGTATATTGCATATAAGTGCACGAGCGCCTTCATGTGCTGATGTGTCCCCGAAGTGGCTTTCTTCGACAAAAGCCCGCCCCTCTGTCTTAGAAATGCATCTGAGCCATGGGCTTAGATATCCCCTTCGGTACAACAGATTGTCCAGTATCGAAAAATGCGGTGCCCTGACTTTGATTTTTATTGCCTCCTATGGATCGTCCGGAAGCGCTTCATGGCACAAGTAATCAACAAATGGTTTTGTCCATTCTGGGGGAGTTGATATGGTATTGACTTTTTGATTATCAATACTCTTTTCCAGGAATACTTCGACCAACACTTTTTTTGTGAGAAAATCATACGAGGTGGATGCCAGTTTGTTGAGGGTGTCCGCCCTTGCAGTTTTCCCTCAGGGATTTTTGCTTTATTGAAAAACTTTTGAACGTGCTGGCTAAATTATGGACTACGTTTAGATATTTCTGCATCCTAGGATCCTTTGCCTCGTATACTCCATATATTTGGTTTTTGACAAGCAACGAGTCACTAATAGCTGCTAGTTGTTTTGCGCCAACCTCCTTGGCCAGCCTTAGTCCTTCCAGGAGCGCCTTGTACTCTGCTTCAGTTTTAGATACTTGGAAGTCGAACCATAGTGCATAGGTGATCTCTTCACCTTTGGGGCTTTGGAGGATTAGGCATATGCCTGAGCCTTCTTTGCTTGTTGCACCATCGGTATACAACTTCTAAAGTTCCTTGTCGGCCTTAGACTTTAATGGGTTGACAGAGATTATCTTCGGTACTCCCTTGATGGTATCTGGGATTTCAACCAGAAAGTCAGCAAGCACCTGGGCTTTGATGCTGGTTCTGAGGTGGTATTGGATGTCGTGTTCACCCGAATCTATGGCCCACTTAGTTAGGCGTCCGAAATTTTCCGGCCTTAGCAACACTTGTTTTATTGGGTAACTGGTCAGAACCTCCACCTTGTGGGCTTGGAAATATCTCTGTAAACGTCTGACTGCGTAGACCAAGGTGAGGACTAGTTTTTCCAAGGCCGGATACTTTACTTCTGCCCTTGCAGGGCCATGTTGACAAAGTGAATGAGGATTTGTTTCCCTTCCCTTTGCACCGCTAACACGGAGGAGTTATCCTCTTCAAACGCTGCAAAGTACATCTATAGAGTCTCCCCTGGAAGTGGGTAGGTGAGAGTCGGGAGTTGTTGCAGTGCGTCTTTCAATTTTTTGCAAGGCCGCATCTGCTTCCTCTGTCCATTTGAATTGTTTTTTTGTCCATGCATCCCTTGCGTGTTTGGTATAGAGGAAGCACCTTCTCTGCGGATTTGGCAATGAACCTTCCAAGAGTCGTTAATCTCTTGCACTCCCTTAAGGTTGTGTGGGGTTCTCGACTTGAGGAACTCTTGTATTTTGGTGGGATTGGTTAGAATCCCTTCCCTGGTCACCTGATAGCCAAGGAATTTCCATTCCTCAACTCCAAAAGTACACTTTGCCGGATTTAACTTCATTTGTGCTTCGACTAGCATTTTGAAGGTTTCTTCCATGTCATGGAGTAACATTTCTTCATTACAAATTTTAATTACAATATCGTCAACGTAGAAATCGACATTTCATCCAATTTGGTTGGGGAATACCTTGTCCATCAGCCTCTGGTAAGTAGCACCCGCATTTTTTTTATCCCAAATGGTATTTTATGATAGTAGAAGGTACCATTTTCTGTATGGGAAATTGTTTTTGCTTCATCCTCTTGCTTCATCTACACCTGATGATAGCCCTTCTATGCATCAAGGAAACATTTGAATCGGAAGCCTTCAAGTGATTGGACTTTCTGATCGATCTCCGGGAGAGGTTAACAATCTTTTGGGCAGGCGTTATTGAGATCTGAATAATCGACGCACATTCGCCATGCACCGTTGGCTTTCTTTACCATGACCGGGTTTGATATCCATGTTGGGAACATTACTTCCCTGAGTATGCCAGTACTCATCAAATCGACCACTTCTGCATTAATAGCCCTATTGTGGTCTGCCGCCTGTCCTCATTTCTTTTGCTTTATGGTTGCTCCCAAACACTATTTTAATATTGTGTTCTATGATCTGACGATTTACGCATGTCAAATCCGTTGGCTTCCAGGCGAAGACTGTGGAGTATTGCATCAATAGCGTCATCGGTCGTGCTTTGGTTTCGTCTTTTAAGTGAGCACTAATTCACACGAGTTGCTCTGGATACTCCATGTTTATCTGGCGTTGCTCTCTAGAACATCCCTCCGTGGACTTCTTTGGCGCCCACACAAGTTCTGGGGCGACTATGATTTTGTGGTAATGCTTTTCTTTGGTGTTTGTGGTGAGGATCTTCGCCAATCCCTGATGCGAACTGAATTTCATGATGCCATGTATTGTCGATGGTACAGGATGTAGTAAAGCGCTTGTTGATCGTCCAAGTAGAATGTTGTGTTCTGTTGGGTATCAGATCACATGGAATTCGATTGTCCTTGTGATTCGGTCCCTTTCTTCGTGGCTAACCAACGTTAAGGGCAGTTGAATAATTCCTAGTGGCCACAAGCTATCCCTGGTGAATCCTTTAATGGTCCACTGGTTAAGGGTCAAAGCCCCTCCTTCCACATGCCAGGTAGCTACCAGAAACAGTGCTCATATAGTATATTAGAGCAACTATCATTGTCAATGTATATTTGGTGGACCTTTATGTTATGAATGAATCCTGATACGAGGAGTGGGTCTTGTGGATCCTAATTTGATGGTCTGGGATCACTACTCGAGAAACTAATGTTGAGTAGGTTTCTCGAGAGAGCCTCGATCTCGTTTTCTACGTGGTGAGGTATGTTTCTCTTACGAGAGTTAGAGATAGTGAATACCTCAGTGTCGTCATACAGATTCATCTGCAATAGATTGGGGTGTATCACCATCTGAGGTGATGAGACATCCGATGACGATTGTCGTAAATTGCTCTAGAGCCCTAGTTCTGCTGTTTTTATCGTAATTGGTGGGATTTGTGTCATTGGCACCTGGAGTGGTTCGTGCGTTCTGAACAGAGCTTCTACTGCCATCTTAAATGCTATTGGATCTAGATCCCCCTTGTGCGAGGAACCATCGTCATCTATTGGTTGTATCACTCTGAGGATACGTTTGGATGGCGCCAAATGTTGGGACATGTTCGCAGATCGTTTGGACACTTGATGGTATAACTGCTTTGGGTGTTTTCCTGAGAACACAATCACAAAAGAAACATTAGAGGACAAACAGGTTTTCTCCTGGGACGTCACTCCGATTATCAAGTTAGTCTCGAGTGAGAGAGAAATCTTAGGGTAATCTTCGTGAGAAAGAAGATGGACCCCTTCCTTGAGGAGGAAGAGATCCTTTTATACCTG